AGAGTTCAGTAACAACTCATCCAAGAGGTCACAAAAGAACCCAGAACAACATCCAAATAACTGCAGGCCTAACTTGCCTCAGTCCTGGTCAGAGTTCATGACTCCGTCATAAGTTACTGGGCAGAAATGGCCTGCATGGCAGAGTTCCAATACAAAAACCAGTGCTGAGCAACAGGGAACATAAAGAGTTGTCTCAGTTTTGCAAGGGAACTGGCAAAACTCCATGATCTGCTAGAGGCAAAAGCATATTGTTGGGGCTGGATCAGGTGTACCTGAATCCTGCCTTAGTTACCCTGCAGTAGACCTAATCTGCTGGGGAATTCCCATGATGCATTGAGTTTTTCTTCTTCTGTCACCTTTCTCGATCATTCTGTGTTATTAGTAATGTAATAATGTTAGTTATTATCCATCCCTTACTCTCTTCTACAGCATGTATTTTGTACTGTCTTCCTCCCCTCATCCCAAGGGGGTCATATGATTGTTGGGGTTTTCTCTGTTTAAGTAGTATTTGTATGTCTTTACCTTACAATATCACGCGCCTTGAGGCAACTGTTGATTTTAGCACTGTTTAAATAAAAACTTAACTCAATTGATTGAGATGCCATGACTTTAAAAAGGCTCGAAAAACCTTCAGTGCGGCTGAATTACATCAATTCTGCAAAGATGAATGGACCAAAATTCCTCCACTGTGCTGTAAAAGACTCATGTCCAGTTATCGCAAACGCTTGATTGCAGTTGTTGCTGCTTTGGGAGGCCCAACCAGTTAGTTAAAATTGGAAATCAGGAAGGGGGCAAACACTTTTTCACACCACTGTACATAAATAATTCTGTCTTCTTCTTAGTCCTTGTCAGACTGTCTCTTTACTCCCAGTGTGTTCCCTAGTGTTACTCCAGCTGCTTTTGTTAATGTTATGTTGTTGCTGGACATTTTAACCAATAAAGGTGTGTTTTCTGTTTATTTCTTCTTTTTCTGCATATCTGCATCTTGGTCCTCAACTTAACACTCCAAACAGGTGACACCTCTGGTTTGATTCACCTAATTTTGAGACTATTAAGGACGAGATATTATTTACTATGTCCTGATACGTAAAAGAGCTTTTTTCTTTTCACCACAACTGTACATTTACAGAGACGAAGGAAGGAGGAAAGAATTCAGCTGGTCAGATTTTGTTTCACTGTCCTTATGCAGTACAACATGCCAAACTGACCTTTCATAGTTTCCTTTTACAAATTGCACATTGCATGTGCAATTTGTAAAACTCTTACACTAAAGTGCCCAAGTGTTTACTTACTCTACTACATTGCTATGATGGATTTCTCAGCAAACTCACAAACTGTTATGCTACTTAAGTAATGCTAAACAAAGCAATGATGCATACGAACCACTGTTACACCATCGTTGAGCAGCGACTCTCCAAACACTATGATAAAGAGGACGTCGTTAACGTGGACCTGCTCAAACACAGCGATGACGGCCACGGGGTCCACAGCAGCCATCAGACTGCCAAAAAGAAGGTACTGCAGCAGACTGATGTCCAGGTCACCTGTACAGATACAAAGAGCGGGAAATATATTCAGTTTTGCTCAATTGTACTGTAACTATGATCTATCTGGCACTTTGCTGCAAACTGAAATGCTGGAATGAAATGCTGTGTCATTTGGTAAAACATTCTCATTTATTGGTAGGAAAAGTCAAATCTCTCTCCAGTCTCATCCAGTGCACTGGTTTGGCAGTGGTCAGACTCAGTATTCTTCACCCAAAGGTTTAAGGCAGGGGTCCCAATCCCAGTCCATGAGGGCCGGTGTCCCTGCAGGTTTTAGATCTCACCCTGGGTCCACACACCTGAATCATGTGATTAGTTCATTACCAGGCCTCTGGAGAACTTGAAGACATGTTGAGAAGGCAATTTATCCTTTTAAATCAGCTGTGATGGATCAAGGACACATCTAAAACCTGCAGGGACACCGGCCCTCGTGGACTGGGATTGGGGGCTCCTGGTATAAAGTCTCAGACAAGCCTGGAGTTGTAATGGACTAAAAATCCACTTAAATCTTACTTTTATTTGTCTGAATTTTGATGAAGCGTTAAAAGGAAGTCAAATTAGCTGTTAGTAATGTCGATGTTTAATGTATCCAAACAAAGCGTAAAAGGAATGTTTTAAAGGACTGGTTTTATACTAAAGAAAACTCTTCTCAGGCAGCTTTCCTGAGTCACCGCGGATGTAAAAATATAATTTGTGTGACGTGTCTTTGTTTCCAGAACAAACTTCAAGGCAAAAAAACAAAGCCAAGGCTGAAGTACTACAAACTGCAGTTCCTCTAGTGGCCACTTGAGGCTCGTTCCAAAGGCAAATTAATCTCTACAGACTCCCACTTAGAGCATTAAAAGTGCCATGATCCAGTGAGTTTTGGTCTTCCTGGAGTAGTTTTCCACTTCTCTCCCGAGATCTTGACTCCACTCATGCTGGCTCATTGACCGCAATCAGTGCACAGTATTTAAGACCAACTCTGACCTGCACTCTCCACCAGATCATCAGCTAAAACCTTGTGTGACCTCTCGGTCTTTGTGTTTTTAGCTTGGGCCCTTAATCAACATTTACTCTTCTCAGGCAAGAACCAGAAAAACCAGAAATAATTTCTTTCTCATCACATAAAAAGAAAGAAGAAAACAAAAATATTCAGAAATTATAAAAAAAACAAAAAATCCCTAGAAGAAGCCTACGTGTCCCACCAAGATCAGGAAACATTGAATAAAATACGCAAAATAAAACTAGATTTAAATGAAATAATTGATAATAAAAAACCAGAATTCTTAGTACAAAGACTACGCTTACAAAATGATGAACATGGTAATAAATCCGGTCAATTTCTAGCAAACCAGCTAAAAATAAATGAAGAAAAAACAACTATATGTGCTGTTCAAGATTCATCTGGGAACACAATATGTGACCCGAAACAAATAAACAACATTTTCATGGATTTCTATAAGACGTTGTATTCACCACAAATAAAAGGAAATTGATCAGTTTTTGGATAACATAACTCTTCCAAAATTATTAGACACTCAAGCAATGGCACTGGATGTGCAACTGACGCCAGGTGAACTCCAGCAAGCCCTGATAAGTATGCCCAATAATAAGGCTCCAGGTCCAGACGGCTTTCCTGCAGAATTCTACAAAGAATTCTGGACGATTCTAGCACCAGTTTTTTACAGAACGTTGTTGGAAATCAAAGCAAACGGCAGATTTCCATCAAATATGAATTCTGCAAACAAGACCCTGTATATCCCTCAAGCTATCGTCCAATATCCCTTATAAATGTAGACCTTAAAATAATCTGCAAAGCTCTCTCAAAGAGATTAGAGAAAATAACCCCCCTCTTAATTCATCCTGACCAAACTGGTTTCATAAAAGGTAGGCACTCATCAACAAACGCACGTCGATTATTTAATTTAATAGACTATTCATACAGTAAAAACATCAAAACTACAATATTTTCTTTAGATGCAGAAAAAGCGTTTGACAGAGTTAACTGGAAATTTCTTGACCTTTTTTTTTTACCCTTGACCTGCCTCTGCTTCTCCCACCAAGATCCCAATTCCAGCCAGCATAGTGTCCTCTCACAGTTCATGTTATTTGCAACCTTCCCTTAGTCTCACAGTTCATGTTCATAGTCCCTGCTCAGCTCACAACCTTAGCTCTGTTCACCTTGTGCATCACCCCATTGTTAGATAAAGTTCTTTTGTTTATCACTTTCTCGAGTCTCAGGTTGAATCTGCGTTTGAGTCCATCTCTCATCTCGGGCCGCTGAACCTTGACATCACTTCCTCTATGTTAGCCGTGGAGGCAGGTTTGCTGAAATGAAACAAAATAAAAATCCTCTCTTACCCATGAGTCCTCCCATGTGACACCCCCACAGCGACAGCCCCAAACTGGCAGCATTCCAGCAGGTCCCAATGACAGCATAGACCAAGATGGCACCCAGGTTGGTGAAGAACAGTTTGTTTGGCATGTGGTAGCCTGCGTCCAGAATGACTTGAGGCAACAGGAAATAGAAGAAGACTGTCGGGGTCAGTGAGAAGGTCTGCATCTTGTCTGCACCCCAAATCATGCCACCCAAAACGAAACCGAAGCAGATGAGCAGGACGCTCTCGGGTATGACGTTGGTGACATGGTGGTTGGACTCAATGACTGAGAGGAGAAAAAAAAAGATCAAGACAAGAACCATGAATCAATACTATCAACCTTTGTAACAACCTTTGATTTTAAGCCAGTCTGCTTGTAGTCAGGTAGGAGCTGGCAAACATTCAAACCTTCACTGCACTTTAAGTAAAACCATATACATAAAACTCCATTTGATCATTTGCAACTGTTGCAATAATTTATTTATATTTAGGGACTGTGGACAGATATATAGCAGGTAAGATAAGTCACCAGTTTTCTATGCAAATATATTTCTAAAGGTGCTATTGAAATGATATTCTCACCAGATCTTGGTAACAACCCATCCAATTCACATATGCAATGAAATAAAACTATAGATGTTCAGAAATTCATGTGTAATAACGAGGAATGACATGGGGGGGGG